CAGCTGGGATGGTAAAAACATACTTTGATACAAGGACCTGATGGCGACAGAGTCTTTTCTTCATTTCAGAGGAGATGAATGTTTTGTCTTGCCTCATCCTATGTTATGAAATATGTTTGTGTAAAAAACAGGGGGGTGATGGAAGAGAGACCCCCCCCATCATTTCCAAATTCCTCTGATAAGAAAATTCTGTTTCTGAAGAATATATTTAATTAAGGTCTTAGTTGCTATAGATGATCAGAATCAAGCTTATATCTTTGTGCCAGTTTGGTTAGTCTTCAGAGAAGGAGTTGGTTAAGAGTGGGTTTCTCAAAGGCTTAAAGGGTCAAATAAGGACCTTCTCACATGGAGTTGGCAGCATGGCAGCAGTATGGCTTTTTCCTGGTCCACTCAGGGAACTTAAAGACTCCATGCTTTAATTGTTCCCCACCCCAGTATTTCCATTTTCTGGAGTCATGTGGGAAAGGAACTGTGATGCAGTGGTTCCCACACCATCAACATAATGTGAGAAAGAGGTCCTAGGTATGTGTTTGCAATGGGCTTTTCTAAACTATAGGTATAACCCTCATGGGAACTAAGACCTTAATTAGAAGGGATGGACAGGCGTTGTGGAGCAGTAAGTGAGAATTTTTAATTTGTCAGTAATGTTTAAATTTGACCTCACTGAGATTTATGTCAATTAAATGTCTATAATTTCGATAGTACTCAACATGTCTAAATCCTGATGAACTATTTTTTATTAAGATCTCCAGTTAATTAACCTCCATGATAACCTCACATAGGCAACGGTTAAGTTTCCAGGACTACCACTAAGTTCCGTGGTCTCTTGCAACAGAAATCTTGCACTTCAAAAAACTAAAATGAGCAACTTGCTTAATTTCATATTAGCATCTGCACAACAAACTCAATGTGGAAATGGTTGTGGAGACCACCTAGAATTCTTACAACCTTCCTGAAGCAGCATGTATTTTTTCTTCTGGGAAGGAAGATGCAATAAAACAGCAGTTCTCTCACATATCTCGTAGCAAAAATTCAGGCACACTAAAACCACATCAAATATTATTTAATTGTCAAAAAAGAGTGAAAGAGAACAGGAATGTAAGTTTTGGCCAAGGGCAGTCATATGTATGCCTCCCCAGCTAAAATCAAATGCTACCCAGAGTTTGGTGGTATATTTTATTCATCCCCACTATTAAAAACATAAACAGGTGTTGCCAGTCACAGGTCCCTAAGACAGAATGGCAGAAGTGCAGCAAATGCTCCATGCTCCTGCAGATCTGTCTGTACAGGACATGTGAAAAAGACTTGTATCTCCCATCTGGTGTTATCAATATGTGGGGAGGCACATAATACATTATATGGAATGGGATAGTGTACATTCTTTCATAATGGTTGAAAGACATACATCAGTAGTTTCCCCCATAAACTGTGGGGCCCTGGCTGTTGGTGTGATGTCAGGATTGTGCTAGGATGTGTTGAGGTAGACACCCTTCTGCAGTTGGATTTTGTTTGCTACAGTGAATGCCATCTCCCATTCCTTATACTCTTTGGGTTAGATCCTACCATGCTGCTTAGTGAAAGTCTGTATCTTCCTCCAGCCTAAGGAGGCCTTCTACCAGTAGACGCCCTTCTCTGTCATAGGAAGGCAACACTGTTAACTCATTGGAGTGGTAGGATCCAACCCACTGTGTCAACCTATACTTTGGATACAAGCGGGCAACAAATCGGGAGCATTCATGTGATGGCAACAGTATTTTATTTAAGATGCAGTGCTTGTGAGAAATAAAACAGCTAGTTTCCACTATGTGTGTGTACTGGCTTGCAGGCTCTGAGTACCAAGTTTCAGAAGTCAGGCAGGGGTGGGGTCATGCAGTCCAAAGTCAGGGTTCCAGAAGTTAGGTTTGGCAAGGTTGTTTAGTCCAAGATCAGCCTTCCAAGAATTAGGCAAGGCAGAGTTGGTGGCTGAGCATCTATTGTATGCATTGCATCCATGCCTAACAGCCTATCTTGGCTGGTTTTTATAGACCCATGCTTAAGGGTCATGCTTGTAGCCAGCTTCTCAGAAGTAACCCTGCAACTACTCATCTTTTCATCAGCAAGCAGCTGGCATCGGGCCAGGAGGTGTGCACCCTGCCTTCTTGCCTGTT